CTTTTAGTTGTTTATATGGGTTATGATCTTGATTTCAATTCTAAAGCTACATCATTAAAAAAATTTAATAGGATATTGATTTGCTTAAAGGCAATAAAAGATGACTTTTTGGTTAGGTGTAGAATATGTATAAGATCGAATCACTATCATCTAAATGGTTTGTTTGGAAAAGTTTTATTTGTAGGCTGTGTGTTTGGATACTAATAAATATCAATTCCTATTGGCCGATGCTATTGTCTAAGTAGAGGATAATGACAACTAGGAATGGTCTCTCTTAGCTTTATATGACTATATAAAGTTTGAAATTTAAGATAAGACGTTATGTTTTAAGTTTGATCAGCAAAGGTTATGAGCAATTATTAAATATACTTTATACTTTTTTATTGACTTCATCTTAAAAAATATTACAAATACTAGTTTCTACTTTATTATCTTTTATAGATTTTGTCGGACAATGTAAAGAAGGTTTTCCCCTAAGCAACTCATAGACAACGTGCCAAGCATATATATGCCAACTTCAAAAGAAAAGGATTTGTGATTTTCGATATGAAGTTGAGTTTTTGGAGGGCTAGTAAGACATATTCTTCCTTTTAGTTTAAACACACATAAAGTCTATTGGAGTTGTAAATTCGAAGCTACTTAGATGGTTTTAAAAAATACTCGTTGAAAGTTGGTTAAGGTATCAATTTGATAAAAATATGAAGAATGATCATGTGACCAATAACATTTCGAATATTTTAATCACTAGATTGAAAAATTTAGAGGCTTACCCATAATCACTTTGGTGAAGAAGATTAAGGTGAAGATAAGGTCAAGATTCTATGCATGATTTGTGAAAGAACATCTTGACGGATCAAGACTACTCTATTTGTAAGGGGGTTCTTGACAAATAACCTAACAAGACAAGAAATCTAAGAATTAAACTAGTTAGTACAAATGATTATTAAGTTTATGATGGCTCATGAAGGATATGTGTTAATTTTAAGACATCCGAATGTTTTTGTGGTGAACGAAGTATGACTAGGATCTCATATAGGCATGTAGCAACTTGTTTATCTTATAAAAGAGGTGAATTAAAAGAATATTATGATAGTTGATACATAGTTCCCAATTTTATCAACACTTATTCTAAAGTGATTCACTATTTACTTGAAAAAAAACCTTAAACTTAACAAATGAGAGCTTATTGTCTTGCCTCTTGTCCCTAAAAGAGGGTGTTGGTAGACTAAGAAAGAATAAAATAAGAAAAAAAAGGAGAAGAAGCTCGAGGGAGAGGTCAAACACTATTACATGCAACATATGTAAACAATTTGATCATAATTCAAAAACTTGCTAAAAGGATATTGTTGTGCGAGTTATAAGGGGTGAGTTAGACTTTTTTAGTTTGTTTATTTCAATTTAATTTTGCCTTTAGTGTTGTATATTTTTAGTTTATTTTTTTATAACAATTAATTGTTTGTTATCGAATAAGATTGGACGAATTGATGGTGAAAGTAAAGGTAGCGAGTGGTAGGAGAAAAGCTTGTGATAATAAAAGTACTAGTGTTATTGATGGTAGTTCAAATAGCTTTTAATATGATGGAAAAGAAACTATTGATGAAATTTTGAGAATTCAAAATAGTGGAAATATAGGTGGTATTAGTAGAAGAGGTAGTAGGGGTGGGTGCTTAGGAAAGGAGGTCGTGCTTAAGAGAGGCAACAATGATACTAGAGGTAGCTAAAAGATGATTGAAATGACTTCTTTTGTGAATAAGGTAATGAATGATCAATTTCATTTAAAATTAAATTATGTCATATTTCTTAATATTTTAATATTTTATTTTAATTTGGTTAACAAAATAAAAGAAGAAGGAATCAAGCTAGTGGCGACCATTAAACGGACTAAATATTGGTGCGATACACATTGCTTTTGTGGTATATATTAGTTGTTCTTTTTGTATAAAAAATAACTTCTTTTGGCGCATATTGGTTTAAATACTCTTGTTCATATAATGCAACCTAAGACACATATACGTTTAAATACTCTATTTTATTATTTTTATTTGTACTTATGGGTAAATACTAATATGTGTAATAATATTTTCAAATAATAAATTATCATATTTTTTTACACTAGTGTTATATTTTATGTTGTTTATACTTTGTTGGACAATGATGGTGGTGTTAATAGTGGTTGGTTGTCGGACATTAGAGGTTTGTTAATAGTGGTTGTTTATTGGACATTGAATGTGTGTTTGTTGGTGTTGTGGTTTCTTAGGTAGTAAAGGTTTGTTTGTTAACGTGGTTTTATGGACGAGTTGGGGTTTGGGTTCGGATAGTAGAGGTTAGGGCTAGGTTTCTAAAAGTGCGGGTTATTAGGTTGTAGACAATTGGGGTTAAGGTTCGGTTATGAGAGTTGGGTTAGGGTTCAGACAATGAGGGTTGGGGTTAGGGCTTTAGACAATGAGAGTTGAGAGATTTTAGATAGTTAAGATTAGGGTTAGGGCTCGAATAATGAGGATTGAAGGGTTCCGGACGAGTGAGGATTAAGCGGGTTCCGGATAGTGGTGGTTGAGGGGTTCTTGATAGTTGGGGTTGGGTTTAGGGGTTACGGACGAGTTGTGGTTAGGGTTGTGGAAAATGAGGGTCGGGGGGTTCGGATAATTAGGGTTATGATTCTAGATAAGAGGGTTGGGGTTAAGGCTCTGCACGGTAGGGATTGAATGGTTTTGTACGGTTAGGGTTGAGGTTAGGGTTTTGGATAATGGGGGTTGAGGGTTTTGAATAATGGGGGTTGGGGGTTCGGACGAGAGGGTTGGGGTTAGGGTTCTATACGAGTGGGAGTTGGAGGGTTTCGAACGGTGAGGATGGAGTGTTGTTGAATAAGAGAGTAGACAATATGGTTGGGGTTAGGGTTATTGATAATGAGGGTTAAAAGGTTCTAGACAATTAAAGTTAGGTTTTTAGACAAGAAGGTTGGGGTTAGGGTTCTAAATAGTAGAGGTTGAGGAGTTCCGGATAGTTGGGGTTAGGGTTACGGACGGTGAGGGTTGAAAAGTTCCGTACAATCGGGGTTAAGGGGTTTTGGACAATTGAGGGTTAGGGGTTCGGACAATTAGGGTTGGGTTTAGTGTTCTAGACAATTTATGGTTATGTTGTGCCTAAATTAGACAATATATATAAGCATTTCTTTTAAGCAATGACAATCATATTGGTTTGTAACAATACAATGCTTTGTCAAACTACTTATTCACTAGTAACACTAATATTAATGCATACATTAGTATTACACATATTATTAGCTACTAAAATATATTTGAAGCTTGTAGCCTTTTAATAGATGAAGCTTCATCCACAGTCTTCTCATTTCATCTCTCGTCTAATAGACTTCATCCACGATAGATTGAATATTAACTTCTTGTGCTTCACTATTATCTTGATTGACATTATTTATAGGTTCACACCAATCGACGAATGAACTCTCACAATATCTATCATCACACCTTTAGAATGATTTATTTTTGCTTCTTTTAGTTTCTAAAATCCTTACAAAGGCACATTTATTGCATATGTTGTATCGAATGTTCTTGAATCTTAATTCATGTGAGTTTTGTTAATTAATGGTGTTAGAGGAAGAAATTTCATTTTTGTAAGATGATGTAGACATTGAAAAGTAACGAGGGTTTTTTTTTTTTTTTTTTAATTAAGGTGGCGACTCAAATGTTGTGTTCGACTTTGAAGTTTTTGGTATTTTGATATGAATTTGGATGTTTGAGATTGGATTTGGGTGATTTGAATTAGAAATTCATGTTTTCATGTTGGATGTTTGATTTTTTTTTTTTATATATTTTATAGACAACTTCTAAAAAAAAAATGCTATTTAAAATCTCAAACTATTTTTTTATTGTTATGATCGAAACGCTTTCAAGAGGCATTATGACCATTTAAAAAATATAATGACAAACTTGAAAAAATTTGGACTTTTTTTACCCAAAATTTTGAAGCTGTAAAGGAAATTATTATATAATATGTTTTTTTGATACGCATATTAAAACCATAGGATGTAAAATGTAAAATTTTAAAAATAGAGATGCAAAAGTGTTCCCACAACCTACGTATAGGGTGGTTTTAATAATTTGCCAAAGAAAAAAAAGCATATATTCAGTGGCTCGCTGTCCGCTTCCAAATTCAGTGCTCCGTATCTCTGGGCACGCTTTTGGCGTTTCTGCATTTTCAGCCAAATTGTGATTTTCTTTCCCCCACCAACACCCGAAAAAAAAAAAAAAACAAAACATCCACTAGCAGGCTGTCAGGCTCACAATTTTCTTGAAATTAACTAATTGAATTGTACGTAAGCGGTGACGAACATCTCTCTCTTTACTTTGACCAAAACTAAGGTGGTTGTTTCTTCGAATTTAACCGGTCTCATAGATCTTGTTCATCTACTCTGTCTGTCTGTCTGTCTGTTGAACTGAGAAAAATAAGGTGTTAGTTAACTCTCTATCTCTCTATCTCTACGTTTCGCCTTCTGAATATCGTCTTTTTTTTTTTTTTTTTAAAGAATATCAGAAGCTAGTTTAGAGGTATTTATATCGCTCTGCTATTTCTGTTATTTCTATCATCATTTATTTTTTTCAGTTATAATAATAATAATAATAATAATTACAAGTTTGTTGTCTTATCATTTATATCTTAGGTGATTAACTTTGATGATTAGCCACAGTTTTCTGTTTCAATTTTCTGCATATATTTTTATTACTAACAGAGTTTTTTTTTTTTTTTTTTTTTTTTGAGTATTTAACTCCTTTTGTCTGTTTTGTTACTCACAGACTTACTTTGTTTTGTTTTGCCACTGCCAAAAGTTTCTCAAAAGAAATTATCTGTGTTTTATGGTTGATTATAATAAACTATATATTTTTAATTTTTTAATTTATTTGCAGGGATAATTTCTGTGTGAAATGAAATGAAGAAATAGATAATAGAAGAGAAGAGAAGAGAAGAGAAGAGAAGAGGACAAAAAAATGGGATTTGAAGCATTGGATTGGTACTGCAAGCCAGTGAGAAATGGGGTGTGGACTAAAGCAGTGGAAAATGCATTTGGTGCATACACACCTTGTGCCACTGACACTCTGGTGGTCTCCCTTTCTTATCTGGTTCTCATCGCACTTTGCTCCTATAGAATCTGGCTTACCAAGAAAGATTTCAAGCTCCGCAGATTCTGTTTGAGGTCTAAATGGTATGCCTATTTGCTGTCCCTGCTTGCTCTTTATTCCACTGCTGAGCCCTTGTACAGATTGGTCATGGGTATTTCGCTTCTCAATTTAGATGGACAGACAGGCCTTGCTCCATTTGAGGTGTGCTTCACTCACTTCTTTTGCTTTCACTTATTTAATCAATGCCTATTTACATCATCTAAGTGCCTTAATTTATATCGAGCAAAACTCTATGTGGGTGGCTGAACTCTCATTCCTGATAAAGAAAAGAGGATGAAAACTAGAAGGGGCAGGCCTCGGAATTTCGATTACTTTTTTGGGCTGAAAAAGCATCCCAGTGGTCCTTTCGGAGTTATTTTTCATAAAAAAGCATCCCCATGTAAGGGGGAAAAAAACCACCTCTAAACGCATCTATTTGGTGCTTTTTAACCCAAAGCCTATAAACCTGATATTTAATATTGTTAAGTTGGGTTGAACATACAAAAGCACAATTAAATCCCTGTTTTTTCTTTTTTCTTTTTTAATTCCGTGTCCCGAGGCCAAAATCACGGGTTAAAAAGACAGGGATTTAATTTCCTTTCGACTGTTTTCAGCCCAACTTAACTATGATAATATTATGACATATTTCCAGTTTTTTCTTGTTGTGTATCTCTGCACCATGATGTGTTTTCAGCCAGTCTGTATTTGGTTTGCTGTTTTTTAGTTCACAACTGCTTCCTTCGTTTGATGCTGTTTCTCCTTTCTCAAGTGAACCTTTTCTGGTGTGTTTTTCTTATACATTTGATTAGTACTAGCCTGTGCATTTAAATCATCATTAGATTAAAGGTGGGTGAGGGTAATAAGCAAACATAAGGTATATTAACCTAATTTGGTAAGCTAGCTGATGTTCATGTTTAAAGAATCTTCTTTTCACCCTTTTGTTGGCAGATTGTTTCCTTGATTATTGAGGCTCTTGCTTGGTGCTCCATGCTGGTCATGATTGGTGTAGAAATTAAAGTCTACATCCGTGAATTTCGATGGTTTGTTAGATTTGGAGTCATCTATACTTTGGTGGGTGATGCAGTGATGCTCAATCTTATTCTTTCAGTGAAGGAGTTCTATGACAAGTTTGTATCTCCTATCTTAGTTGCTTTTAATTTATACATTCGGCTGGGCAAAGGGAACTCACAGTTTTACATTGTTTTGGCAGCACTGTTCTGTATTTATACATTAGCGAGGTCATTGTTCAGGTTTGCTTCTATTTACCTATTATATCCTCAAGGTTGAACGGATACTCTTGTTTCTGGCTCCCCATGTTGTACTTTTACTTAGGCTCCAAGTCCTAGGCTGGTAACTAGTCGAATGTGCCCATGATGCGTGGGTGGTTAAATCTTACGCTCCACCATTCTTTGTGCTAATTCATGTAATCATTTTTATTTTTATTATTCTCTTTATGTCTAAACAAGAATTTTGACAAATATGATGTCCGTGAAATTTATTTATTGAAATTTTAATCCTTTTGACTCAAATCCTCAACTTATTTGTGAACTTATTCACAATTTAAATTGTTTACTTATTACCTCAAACTCATTTCATATTACACCTATTAGATACAAACATATCAATTCAGCCCGACTAAATACTTTAGATTCCATTTAACACGATTGAATATTTTTAAAGTTTATTGATTGAAATTTATTAATAACTTTCACATCGTTAAGCATGAAAAGGAAAAACAACAAAAGAATTTCAAAGTATATATATAACATATACTCCATAAAATTGTGGATGCATTTTCGATTTAAATTCTTAATTTAAAAGAATTTCAAAGTACGATAATAGAATTTCAACCCAATTAAAAATTTTCACATCATGAAGCATGAGAAGGAAAAAGCAACAAAAGAATTTCAAAGTATATATATAAAATATACTCCACAAAGTTGTTGATGCATATTTAATTTAAATTCTTAATTGATCTCACTTTTTGAAAGAAAAATTGAAAATTGCATCGCATAATTTCATAATTTGATTGCTCAATTGAAAAATTCAACTCCTACTATGTCATCAATTTCTAAACCGCTTTAAGGATTTTGATTAGGATGTATCTAGTATTAGAGGCAATTTTTCTTTTCCCTCATCTTACTCTCAACTTAAAAATATGCAATATGTATGTCATGTTAACCAAACCTTATAATGGAAGTTTTCAATTGGTTCAAGTACAAACAATTAACAATAATAAGATTTTGATTTAAGGTTTTAGGTTAAAAAATTTTATATTATTTTTTCTTTCTTCAACATAATATTAATGTTTTGAAGTTTTTGGTTTTTCGTTTACTCATATGGCCAGAAGGTCCCATTGTATTTTATTTCTTTATATGTTATGCAAAATGTGATTGGCTAATATCTAGGCCTGTTGTGCGTGTGGCTATATTGCTATGTGTCTGCATCACAAAATTCCATGAGAACTGCATCTGTTTTACTAGTGTATGAAGATTGTTAGATTAGCTTTCTCCTACGTTAGCCCCACAGCAGTGTTTCCATAGATATGGCACCTTCTGACCAAAACAGGGCTTGTTAGCTGACACCAGGTAATAACATATGAAAAAAATAAAAGAAATCAGGGAGAAGAAGAGTGAAAGAAGGGGAGATGAACTATAAGAAGAGGTAGGGAGAAAATTAGAAGAAATTCAAGTAAGGAGAAATATAGCAGCTGCAATTCTCAAAAATAATTCAAGGACCAATTTAAAACATAATGATAGTTGATCTTACATAGGCAGCAAATTTTACATGTAAAACAAAATTGGAACATTAGTATTTAGTATTGACAAAAGCTGGAGTTGACTACTACTAGATAAGTATTAAAATACGTTCCTAATTACTGCTACTTCATTACTAAACAGGAAATGTGACTGAATTCCTAAAATCTCTAATAGCAAATGGAAATTCCAAATAAACAAATAGGAGAATAACGTTTCCAAAAAAATCTTTGGTTGGTTCTACATGGACAGCTTCGAGAATGTGTTGTGGCATTGCTTATGGCTAATAGTATGGTTTCTGAATTTCAAAAATCCATCTGTTTAATAAAGATTTCTCCAGTATCGGTTCTCTGTGGAGAAAGTTTTCTTGGGTGGAAGTTTTTCCAGCCCTGCCTTGCTATGGAATGCAATTGGGGGCTAATTCTTTTAGAGCTTGTTGAGCATCTAGTCCTGAGATGATGTACTCGTTGACTTATTATGCTTGGTTTTTATTGACACAGCTTGAGTTAATGCCATACTGTGATTATGATCGCCAAATTTGTTGCAAAACTTGTATTTATTCTGCTGGAAATGGGTGAAGATGGTGAATTACTGTGTTTGTACAATATCCAGGACAACAAAAGTTTAGGGTTGAATGTGATGTTTAATCCTTAGGTTTCTGATTCATTTACTTTTCTCTTCATAAGCTGGCTTCCAACGTAAATCACATTGTGTAGATGTATTTGGTTCTAATATATAAGTGTTGTTTTGATTAGGGTTTGTTTGGAATACTACTGCTTGTGTATGTTCCTGACTTGGATCCTTACCCTGGTTACACTCCAATGCAAACTGAATCTGTTGATGATGCTGAATATGAAGAGCTACCTGGAGGAGAGTATATATGTCCTGAGAGGCATGTCAACTTAATTTCCAGTATGTATATTCTATAACACATGTTCTATGTATCATTTACAAACTTTCAAATGGTTTTTCCTGTTGACAAAGACAAATTATTAGTTCTTAAAATATGAAACTATGGGTTATGCTACTCTGCTGTGGTACTTGGTATGCCTGATGAATAAGCTCCTAATATGTGTTCTTCTTCATTGGTTATTTCTGTTGCATGATTTGCTTCCTCAATCAAAATGACTTTCTTTTATGCATACGTATTTTGATAACTGAGAAGTTTTGATTAGATAGTTTGAACATGTTATGGGTGAGAGGACAAGCGTAATAGGTGCATCTGTTGACTAAAAGATCACCCTAAAATAATATCTTATGACTATTGAGAGCAAATCAAATCAGATGGTTCTATTCCTCGTCTTTCTTACTTGCTCTTAAGGATCCAAGAGGTTAAAAAATCTAATGCTTTCGATGTAACTCAAATATACAGGCAGTTGTGAATTTAATGTGAAATATGTTATGGTTTATATTTAAGAAGTTCTTTAAATAAAGAATGAATATTTTTTAATATTGGCAAAGATTGAGCCACACTAGTAGCCTGAACAACTGTATTTGAAATTTTATGAGTGGAGTTATTTTAGATTGGTTCTGTGATCTCTTTTGCACCTTAGATCTAGTACATGGTAATTCAGGCATGGGTGTGAAGGGTATCCTTGATCTTCTCTACAATAAAGTGCATTTTCTATGATCGTTTATCTTCTAAATATGCTGTCTCATTATTCTTTTGATAGAAATTGTTTTTGGATGGATGAGTCCCCTTATGAAGCTAGGATATAGTAGACCCATCACTGAGAAGGATGTTTGGAAATTAGATTCGTGGGATTGCACTGAAACCCTTAACAATAGGTGCGTGGGTCCTTTACTTTTGTTTCCAAGAGACACCAGTTTTTGTGTCATTCTTTAAGATGCTTGTTTAACCTTACATTTGTTGCTGCAAAATCTTATGCATATTAAAGGTCATGTTGACTCTGCAGGTTCCAAAAATGTTGGGCTGAGGAATCAAGAAAACCAAAACCATGGCTGTTGAGGGCATTAAATGGTAGCCTTGGAGGGAGGTAAAAATAGTGATAAATTGAAGTGGCGTTTGTTTTTTCTATTTATTTGTTTACCTGTTTATATGATGGAATACAAAATGTGCTTGTATGTTCTTGTCATGGATCCATTTTATTCACTTTTTTCTTAAAAGAAACACACCTATGAAAAATGATATATAACGGTGTACAGTAGAATTTCATCTAGACAATGAACATCGTAGAACATTGATTCTGACAAAATATGAAAGGGTTAGAATTGAAAATTGGTTAATGGTCAATCTGAATCATTTTTATCATATTTCTGTTTTGATCAGCTGCTTGTAGCCATTAATTCAACAGCTGTTAAGGTACCGTAACAGTGTTGTCTCAAACTTGGTCATTCTGGGTGTCAAGTGTGCTATGCTGAGTGGTTCTCTTCTTTTGCAAGTATATTGGTGTTTTTGTACCTTTTGGCTTTACAATTAGTTATGCGATGCTAGACAAGTCGTACTATGTTTTTAAGCTTAACGGGTGTCCTCAAGAATCACATTAATCTTAGCACCAGCATGATGGATGATAGCCGATTCTTTTCCCAAGGGGCAGGTACTTGGGCAACTGCCTGGAAAGAAATTCCTAGGGCTCTTTTTTTTTTTTTTTTTTTTTTTTTTTAATAAATTTTATAAGTTTTTTCATAGAGGAAATTTTATAGTTGGCTGTGATTAGGTTTATGGTTTTTAGTAGGCTGTTTTAGGGCTTTCAAACTGAAAAAAGTTCTGCAAATAAAATGAGTTGAAGGAAAATAAAATAAAAACTACTAACGACCCTAGTAGATTCAAGGAATCACTCCTTGAATAAGAATCCAAGCCTCACACCTAAGGTGTAAAGAATCACTTTTTAATCAAAGAATCAATCGCTCAAAATAAAAGGCTGCAGTTTATTAACAATAATTCTCTGATACTGAAATTAAACTATACAAGCATATTTATAGGCTTGAGTTATTACTATTCCTAATTAGACATGGATTCTTAAATAAGAGACGCAAATATTCCTATTTTACTAGTATAAACGGAAACCTAAATAAGAAGTTAAACCTTCTTTATTTAAAGTTACTCTATATTTCCTAAATTGCTAGCAATTGAATTCTTTGCAGGAAATTTACTGAAATTACTAATCTGTCCTTTCCTAGACCAGTAGGCTGCATCATATGTGAGTTTAGCCGATGTTCCATTGAATGTGAGGGTGCATGAGCGAGGAACTGCTCTATAATGCAGTTGTTTGATAGAGCTATTTTAAAATGCATAGGTGGTGTGCTATTATCTACATATGAGCGCATGAATGATTGAATGGAAGTTCAACTAACTTGGGCATATTCACAAGGAATTTTCTATCCAGCAGTTGATTGGCCAATGGCTATCTGCTGTGTCTTGTACTGAAGACTGACAATATTCAGAGTAAATGCATTGAGCTTGTAATGTTGATTTGGTCATTCTTGATCTAGTGGATCTGTTGTCTTTGATGAGTCAGTTATCCTTGTTGGAATCAGTTGTTTGTATTGACTGCATGCATGAACAGAAGCATCATTGTTGTTATCATGTACTAGTGATAAAGGTTCCCATCAGTCTAGAATGTTCTCCTGTGATCTCATATATATGAATCTAATTGATTTCCCCCTCGACTTTTTTCTAGGTTTTGGTGGGGAGGCTTTTGGAAGGTAATGGACTCATCTTTTTGACACTAAACTTATGTTATAATTTGGTTATTGAGTTGGAAGCTCAAAATTCATGCATCTATTATTTCACGAGTAGGCAGACATAGGATAGTGCATTTTTTTCCCCTTCTAATCTACATAGATGCATACATTTAGAAATTTGCATTTTTCATTTAGTAAAATGCATACTCTCAGATGTTGTCTTTGTTTTAGGTTGTTCTATAAAATCCACGGTTGGAAACATTTTTTAAATGAATTCTAGATGTTCTAATGTTCCGTTTGCTAATTAGCCATAATTCTTGTCATTGATGAAAATTTTTACTTTTATAAGGGCAGAAATGAAGGCTTTAGCTCTTGGCTTGGTATATTACTAACTGCATCTTGTTGCTTGGCTTGAGGCTTTGTAGATTTGTTAAAAAGAAAGGAGAAGAAATCGTAGATCTTCTGCATTTATAAATTTATTTTCTTTTTGGGGAATTTGTATGAACATCCCCTGAATTATTGATCATTTAGATGTAGACCCCTTATTCTGCTTGGGTTTGGATCGACACCCCCTCTGCCATGTGAAACTATTAATAGACCCTTTTGTTTCCTTTCATCCATTTCTCTGTTAAGAACTCACATGTAATGTAATTAACACGTGAAACCTAACACCTAACCCAACCTCACGTGCTCATTTAGTTTTCCTGCCATTACCACCCCCAATCTACAACATTTTCTCCATTGTTTCAACATAAGGCCTTTTTGCCCTAAAAGACTAAAGGGCTAGATTTGAAAATGAAACTTTCTAGGAGAGAGAGTATTTTTTTCATATATACATTGAGGTAAGAAAGTACATATTTATAAGCAGAGAGGAAAAGCTACATCTGCTTCATAAGGAAACAAACATATAAAATCCGTAAATTATGGAGAGCTAGTATTTAGGAAATTAACCTCAAATACTTAGGAGACTAATGATCTACTTCCTAAAATAGAATGATTTCTAGAATAGTCTAATAATACAAGATCTTTCTACGGAAAACAAAACAGCAAAAGTGAAGAGGAGAGGAGGGATACTTGGTAAACACTTATTGAGGCTTGAGAATTTTCTTTTTAATTCTGCACATATTCAATTTTCTATCCTCCTCATCCTCATTTGATTTGAATAAGAGGAAGAAGACAAGAAAGAAAGCATGGACTTGTTGCTTACCTAGAAATGCAGAGCTCTCTTTTGGCTATGAATCAAAATCCCTCTTTTCCTGTTGTGAATCATTTGGGTGTTTTGGGATTTCAATAGAAAACCTCAATAACAGTTTATTCTTTTCAAAGTTTAACCTCTCTTTCTTTTCTTTTTCTTAACAGTTGTCTCTCTGTTTTTTATTTTCTTTTATTTTTTCTTCTCCCATGTGCTCTCATACTGGTATAAATATAGTGGGTCACATGAGAGGTGATTAGTAGTAATTCTAATTCTGTTCTAGATGTTGTTAATTACATTGCACGTGGTCCTATTAATAGTTCACATCATAGAGGGGGTGTCAATCCAAAGGCAAAGAGAATAAGGGGTCTTTATCCAAATGACTAATTATTGGGGATGTTCGTATGGACTTACGTTTTTTTTTCCTTAATCTTTCTTACTGTTTCATTTCAGTGCCTCTATAGTAATCTCCAATATACTTGGGTCAGAACACGATCTGATGTTTTTTTCCCCACTCAAAAGATAAAAGAATTTATGGGGAAGAAGAAAGGAGGGAGGGAGGGAGGGAGGGAGGGAGGGAGTATGAATTTCATAAATCTGGAAATGATAACTTACCATGACACGTAGAACGTTTAATGTTCCTTCTGTGCAAAATGTCACATCTTGCACGATATGGTTTAGATATTTCTATCAGGAAAGGTATTGGTGAACATCCTAGCCTCATAAAAACAACTCTACACTCCCAATATTTTGTAATACAAACCTAATGAGTTACATGCGCAGGGCATAAACCTTCAGCATTTGACAATCTAAAGGTGCAGATGCAACATGGATTTGACACTTGTGTTTTAACAGCCTTGCTTGGACTGTGAACCAGGAAGTTCTAATTGCATGCTGTAAAAGCTTTGGTTCTTGCATTCTTCTGGGATGTTTGAACTTCTACTAGCTTAGAAATGTTATTTTGTTTTTCATCCTACTTTGAGAGGAGAGTATGTGTCATTCAAATAATCAGTTTTTGGATATGCTAATTTTTCCAACCATGAATGCTTTGTGTTTTTCCTTGTTGGGTGAAATTTTGTGAAATATACAAGAACATATAGATCTAGTGTCATTGTAAGGTGAATTTTTGTTTTGTATGATTTTAAAATTTATCATTTTATTTTAATTTTTTTAAATGGGGAAGTTCCTTAATACATATGTGGATTTCCCCAAATTTGGACCCTATACTCTTTTTTGGCTTGATTGAGATCCTCTACTCTTCAAAATTTCTTGCTTCAAACTCTTTGTTATAATACCACCAATCGGTGATCGATACGTGACATTGTAAGAAATCTCAATAACGTATCGATCACTGATTGGTGGCATTATAACGGTAACGGAGGGTCCGAAGCAAGAAATTTCAAAAAGTAGAGGGTCTCAATCAAGCCAAAAAAGAGTAGAAGGTCTCAATCAAAAAAAGTAGAAGAGTACACAGTCCAAATGTGGGGGTAAACATGACATATATACATAGCTGATATAGTTTTTCCTCTATTGACCAACTTGTAGATTGGCAATGACGCTTCCCAATTTGTCGGGCCACTTGTGCTGAACCAACTCCTACAGGTTAGCTCCTCTTTTGTCTGTGCCTTACTGGATAAGTGATCCAACTTTTTTCTTATTTTCTCCTCCATCAAGGTGAACTCAATGGTTCCTTTTATTCTGCAGGCAAAGTAGGCATTTATTTTAGTTTTTCTCATTGGTTTAAACCAGTCCTCAATTATAATCAAATGAATCAATTGGCACATACAATACGTCCAATTACTTCACACAGATTTTTATAACCTTGCTGAGCAAAAATGTGATATCCATTTGAGATGTATGCCTGCGTATGTGCAAAGTCTGCTGTTCCCATCTTTTATGCTTCTATTTTCATGATTGTGATGTGTTCTTTGTCACATCACGTGAGTCTAACTAAATATAGCAGTACATGTTTGATATTGTATAAATATCGAAGTTTTTCTATCCTCAAAAATCGAGATTGGTTATATTATGATTGAAGGGTAATGTTGTCTTGAGATAATTGTAGTGTGTGGGGGTCTTTTTTTGGTTTTTGGGGGGGGGGGGTTGTGTTGGTGATTCTACACTTCTCTGATGCAAGTTGTGATTGTCTTACTGATTTTTAATTGTGTTATTTTTTAACCACCTGCAGTCCATGCAAGAAGGTGATCCGGCTTGGATTGGTTATATCTATGCTTTCTCAATTTTTGCTGGAGTGGTATGATAGAATTTCTCTGTTTACCCAATGTTGAGTTGAACATTCGATTTTTCTACTCATATCTATTCTGCTTTTGATAACTTGAAATGCCATGCATTGTGAACATAGGATTTCAAGTGAAGAGTTTGACTAATATGCCTAGGGCTTTGATGAGACTTGTGACAATAGGAGGGCTCATTGAATAGGCTTCAAATGATGCAATAATTTTATCTTTTGATGCAAGTAGTGAAATAGAATCTATAAGTGTGTACTCTATGCTCAAAAAACAAGGTTTTTCTGTAATGTTATTTCCCCCAAACGTTGGAGGTTCTTTGGGCTTTGGGAGTTTTTAGGGGAAATTATTAGAACTCTGGCAATTTAATTATTAGCATCAGGACAATACTCGATTGTGTAATAGAACTCCTTTCGTTCCATATTGTGTGTCCATTTCTAGTTTTCTAACTTTTTAAGGTGACATCATGTGCTAATTTATTGAAAGTCACGTATGCTTTTTACATGAGAAGGGTTATGTTATTGATCACAGTATGAAGAATGAATTTGGAAACTTAGATATTGCAATGTACTATCTTTGAACGTGGACACTTAAATTGGGACATGTCACAAAGGACTAGCTGCAACTTAACATGGGACTAAGGAGTACAACATACATTATGACTAGAAATGGTCTATATTGCTTTTGTTATGATGTAAGAATGATGAATAGTTTTTTCTTCGTATGATTTCTTACCTTTTTCTTTTGAGGAAGGCTTGGTTAGCTCTAGCTCATGCATTTCAAAGTTCACCTAAGCCTTATTGATTTCATATAACAAGAAATCTAATAAAGTAAGTGACGACAGACTAATACGATATGGAAAATAAACTGATGCCTTATTGCCAATAAAAATAGTTTAAATTAGGATGTTACTTCTACCTGCATATTCTTGTGAAATGTGACTATGCTCTTGATTTTGTAAATGAATTATCAATAAGCATTCAGAATCTCTTATCAGCGGTAATCTTATCCAGGTATTTGGTGTGTTATGTGAAGCTCAGTATTTTCAGAATGTCATGCGTGTTGGTTTCCGCCTGAGATCAACTTTGGTAATTTCATTTTCTTGCTGAGTTTTTGATGTGTTCGGTTTGTGCTTTTTGGATGTGAGATAATGAGAGGCAACTAAACAGCATCACCATTTTACCAGCAACGTAACTCTTTTTCTCTCCTCTTACAATTAGTAGCGGGGGAAAATGGTAGCAGGAGCATAATTGTGGTTTGAAGAGAAAAATCTATCATTTTAGACCTAACCCCTCATTATTTGTTAGCATTGATGATGGCTGACCCGAAGGTTTAGACAGTTTCAATATCTGTATCTCTCATGCTTTTTAGGTTGCTGCCGTGTTTCGAAAATCTCTAAGGCTCACCCATGAAGGTCGCCGGAAGTTTGCATCTGGAAAAATAACCAACTTGATGACAACTGATGCTGAAGCACTTCAGGTGTGCTCATCCAGTACTCTCTTTTGTATGCATATATAATGTTCTTAATTGTTGAACATCACTATATGCGCTTTCATTGTCATGATATGGGAGGGTGAATTTAAGATACAGGAGGGTGAAGCACTTCAGGTGTGCTCATCCAGTACTCTTTTGTATGCATATATAATGTTCTTGATTGTTGAATATCACTATATGTGCTTTCATTATCATGATACGGGAGGGTGAATTTAAGTTCCTGTGTTTGGTAGGAAAATATCACTATTTGTGCTTTCACTATATTTGTATGATACTGATGCTGAAGCACTCCAGGTGTGCTCATCCAGTACTCTCTTTTGTATGCATATATAATGTTCTTGATTGCTGAATATCAATATATGTGCTTTCATTATCATGATACAGGAGGGTGAATTTAAGATCTTGTGTTTGGCAGAAAATGCTTCTTGTAGGTTCATATGATATAGTTATGTTATCTCAAAAAGTAATGTAGGGCACCATTTATCTATTGTGCCTACACTTGCAGGGTTCGCCCAGCAATTATAACCAGCAGGTTTTGAGAAGGAAATTATGTTAACTTCTTAATCTTTGACAATTTCGTGAAAGTTTCTGTTAAGAAGCCTGAGAAAGCATACCTGTGTGCATGTATCTTGGTATTGTTTGTATCGGAGAACCATGCAACCTAAATATTTACAACTATTTGAGAGGTGCCAAAAAGTATCAATACCAGCAATACATCCCTTCATGTGCAAACTGGTTTGGGTGGTGAAGTGGAAAGCTTATAGTCTGAGGGGCCCTTATGTAAAAAAGAAAAACTAGAAAATCATTGTAGGTTCCTGAAAAGAACGAGGCTAAAGTTTAAAACTGATAGTTCGAGGGAGGCATTATGTAAAAACTATGCTGGAAAACCGTTGCAGGATCCTTAGAAGATGGTTCTTTGACCCACATTCCCCTGGCCCCTATATCCATCTCTAACTCATGGATCCCAATGGCAGACTCGTTACTGCATGGTGATTAAATTTTATAGTAGAGGTGATGGGGAATGGAGAACAAATATATTAGAAATTAGTCCATTTTTAGTAATGTTAATTTTGTATGTTTGTCGTAGATATTTATTACTACTTAGGAATATTATTATCTACTATGTAGTAGTTAATATAGGAATCTAGTGTATTTCTTATTATAGGTTTTTCTATTCCTACTGGGATTATATATTTTTATATTTTACCTTTTGTACTATTATTAGGATTAATTTTCCTATTTATATTTGGTTTGGTGCCTCTAAATATTCACCTATGCACCCTATCTAAATATTTAAGTTGTTTTAGAATATTAAGTGATCAAATAAATATTTCCATGATAGACAATAAAGTTATCATAGAATATTTGGCTGTGATAGATATTATGGTCCTCCATATGAAACTTAATTATGATTGGAGAGGTAGTGGTCTTCATGAAAAAAGAAGTTAGCCAAGTTTAGTCATGTTGGTTAGATTTTCACACATTTTTTATCCTATCATAGAGGATGTGTTGCATGAAATATTAATGCTTGAAGAGCTAGTTTTTGTTCAATTTAAATTTTAAGTGTATGCTACTCTAGCCAAAATTGGGCTCCATCTTACTATGTTTATGGAAATTTTTGTAAGAAGGATGCTTAGGTGATGTTTGGTAATCGGGAATAAAGTGGTGGGAATGAGAATGAAAGTTTTATTCCCACGTTGTAGCTGTTTGGTTAAAAGGAATGAAGTGAGAATAAAAATGAAAATTTACACACAATTTCATTCCCATATAAGATGTGGGAATAAAAATAAGGAATGAGAGTGAATTTTTTTTTCTTCAAAATAATAATATATTTTATTTATTTATTGTCTATTAACTACTTTTACTATCACCACAACCACCACCACCACCACCACTAGAACCACCACTGCGGTAATCACCATCACCATCATCATCTTTATTATTTTTACAACCATTATAGTTTAATAAAATTATTTTTTAATCATTATTTTTATTTATATAAAAAATCAGATATTAAAAAATTTAAATTGTATTCCGATTCCTCATTAGTATTCCAAACACAATATGGGAATACAAATGCCATTTCGATTTCTTAATTTTTATTCCTATTCCTTCATTCCCATTCTGGACCTTTCATTCCTTATAACCAAATGACACATCAATTTAAGAACTTTGGAAGTTATGGATGTCCTATGATAATCTGCACCTTATAGGTAACATCTAGTTTTACTGCAAATTTCAAATTAAGCTCTTATCAAAAGCTACAATCGAAATATTGACCCAAACATAGCCACTTATTTTTGTTGAAATGAATAGACACTATTAGTAAAGATGGAAGGCCATCAAGGAATCAAGTCAAGAATCTTATGGAGTAGAGGATGAAATGAAGCAACAAGAACTTTGTGGTATTTGGTAACATCACAAGTGGAAAAGTAGGAACCTCTCGCACATATTGTAGAATAAGTTGATGAATATAAATAAGATGAAATCAAAGCAAGCTTATTAAAGGAAATTAAGATTGTGAAGGAACCTGATGGGCATCGCTTTTAGGATAAAGGAGTTAAAGCATTGGAACTTGTCCATTTTTTTCCAAGTCTTACATATAAAAGGCTACATCATTCAACTTAAAGAAGAAACCAATCACATTAATGTTATTATCCCCTCCAATATCAATGTGTTTCTGAGAATAATTGTTTGCCAACTTTTTCTTCATATTTTTTTTTTAAAAAGGAGAAATGTTATCAAGCACTAGAATGTGGGATGTTATTCAAGCTTATGGAATTGTTGCCATTTTGAAACTTCAAGATTAGGGGTTGAATTTTTTTTTCTTTTCAATCAGGGGAAAATGATGGGGAATGAAGAACAATCATATTGGAAATTAGTATTTGTTTATTTATTCAGGAATTTTAATTTTGTATTTTTTCTCTAGATTTTTAGTATTATTCTGAAATATTATTATTTAATATCTAGTAGTTAAAATAGGAATCTGGTTCTTTTCTTAATAGTAGATTTTTCTATTCCTATTAGTATTAGATATTTTTAGATATTAGTTTGCCTACTATAATTGGGATTTTAGTTCTCCTGGTTCCTATGAATATGCACACTACCTGGACATTTATGTTTTGTTTTATTACTGATTGATTTGGTGAATTGAGTTTTTTTGGAGAATTGGTTCTCTCACGTGTTTTGTTCCTGTGTTCATCAATTGGTTCTCCATCAAGAGATCTCAATTTTTGAACACTTGACGACTATGGTTATAAGCCTGTAATACATTTTATACTACACTAGAAACCGTTCAATAAAGAGTTTTGAGCTTTTAGGAACAGGCCAAACGAGACCAATATCTTAACAGTTCCTTGGATTATTATTGTATTTGCGGCTGCAAGTGACCATAAATGTTTAACGACTCTTGCAGCTTACGTGTTTATTGTTTACTAGACTTGTAGAAATAAAAGAAGATAAAGATGTTGAGGGTATATATTGCTGAAAATGTGTCAAAATTACCTTAATGTTACTTTTTGGTGGAATCATGTAACTTGAAGTGTGCTCAAGTAATCCCACATGTAATTTCAAAGTTCTTGTTTCTGATTAAATTTGCATCTTGATTTAATTAACTACCCTCATTAATACCAAAACTAATTTTCTTTTTGCCATCGACAGCAAATATGTCAATCACTTCACACTTTGTGGTCAGCTCCATTCCGTATTATTATCGCTATGGTTCTCCTTTATCAGCAGTTGAATGTTGCTTCACTTCTTGGTGCACTAATGCTAGTACTTCTGTTCCCCATACAGGTATATGGGTTTGCTTTCTTATGACCCTCATTGTTCCTGATTTTACTACTATTATTTCATGTTGCATGTGTCTTTTTATTTGTTAAACTTTTCATTCCCTTGCAATATGATTCATTTGTAAGCATAAGTATGTAATAGCCATCTTTTTTTCCTGAAATTTGAAATTTAAAATATCTTATGCTTTGTAGTTTCTGTAGATTTTGCTTTTGGATATCATTCTTTGGTTGGATGATTTTTTTTTTTGATGTTTTTCCTTCATCTATGTTATTCTGTGACTTTTATTTATTAGATCCGAGTTGTGGAGTCTAGAATGGTTACTTTATTCTGTTTCCCTTTTCCCTAGGGTCAGTTCATGTATACTTACTTTATCAGTGCTCAGTCTTTTTAAATTTGTGGTGATAGGATAGTTTTCCTTCAACTTAAAGAAGGGCTTAATTTTTGCATCTTTTGTTGGATGAAGACATTTGTTATAAGCAGAATGCAAAAGTTATCTAAGGAGGGTTTGCAGCGTACAGACAAGAGAATTGGCCTCATGAATGAAATTTTGGCTGCAATGGATACTGTGAAGTATGATTATTTTGTTATAATTTTCTTTGGTTTCACATGAGTGCCTTCCTGACTATTTTTCCTTTTATGTTTATCTAATGAATATTTTGACTTTGTTAAAATGGTTTAGATGTTATGCATGGGAAAGTAGCTTCCAGGCTAAAGTTCAAGGTGTTCGGGATGAAGAATTATCATGGTTCCGAAAAGCATCACTGCTAGGAGCGGTATGACCTATAATATATTTAGAAAAGTTTCTATTTCTATATTTGATAAGATTTCCATTTATTTCTCACTCTGCAGTTTGAAAATTTTATGACATTAATGTCACCTTTCTCTCTATCGTTGTTTACCTTGTAATTTTGCTACCTGATTCTTGATTTTGTATTGAATGCATGTCTCCCTTACATGCTCATTGAATGCATGTCTCCCTTACATGCTCACAAGCATACATGTTTTGATTTATTTCACCTTTATAATTGTGTCAAACATATGGATATGAGTTGTAGTGTAGTATGCTAATTGATGTCATGATTGGCTTTAATGTGAGAGGAAAAATACATTTAGAAGAGATGCAAAGAGTGTCCTTAGTTTTGCAGCCTTTAGTGCATGATGGTGCTAAGAAGTCCAACATCAGAAACTGACAGCTTAAGACAATGTAATTGATGGAATGTTGATTCTGAGGAGGAAAGTTGTTGATAGATGGAAGTGAATGGGATTATTCTACACCTAAGAAGTGTGTGCTTGTTTCACATGTTATACATCAATCATGGGTGATTAATTGATGGTATTTGCTGTTGCTAATTATGTGTGGGTGTTTAGCACGGTGGCCTTAACATTTTCTTGCGCATGTTTCCAATTATTTCCTTGTTTTGCAGTGTAATGCTTTTATACTAAACAGCATTCCAGTAGCGGTGACTGTGATTTCGTTTGGTATGTTCACTTTGCTTGGTGGAGATCTGACTCCTGCAAGGGCATTTACTTCTCTATCTCTGTTTGCTGTGCTTCGCTTTCCTCTCTTCATGCTTCCTAATATAATTACTCAGGTCTGGTCTTCCTTCTTTACTGTATCTCTTATCCTTCTGCTTACTGCTGAGGTATTGCTTATGGTATTTCTGTGTTGAGAGAGAGAACTATGATGGCTGTTTTTTGCTGTCATTAATTTAGCTTCTATTTATCATGCTGTTAATTCCTTCTTAAGTTTATATTGATTTAATTTCTGAAATTGACCTAGTTCATTCTTTTAAACTAATGTTGGGTTAGCTGAAATAGAATACATTATTCCAAAACAGTTTAGCCAAGGAGCCATAGCGTGATTAAATGACAAAAGTATCGGGGTTGTAACCTTGAGGATGCAAGTCTGAATCTCTAGAAAAACTGCTTCATGTCAAAAGCTGACCAGTAGGGTTTTTCCAAATATTCCCTCCCAGGAATCCACTATGGCTGGACAACAGATGACTGTCCTTTTCTAAAGCTCTTTAGCCAGCCAAAATCTGATCTTTTGTGCATTAACACAAAGGACCGATAAATTTGACACTTTGGAAACTGAGATGCAGAGAATTGATCATGTCTTCTATAAAACTACATTTGTTTTTCAATATTTCATCTACTTTTTGTTGGTCAGCTTTTAATTTTGTCGTTAGTAAACAAAGGCACTTAAGTGGTAATAATATGTTCAATTCAGCAACTGTCCCTTTTTTAAGTCGTTTAATACTTTTTCATTTACCTTCTTGATGATGGCTGTTGAATAATTATACATTGCCCTTAGTTAAATTGATATGATTGCACAGATATTGATCAGTACTGAATTCATATAATTGAACCAACTGCTTGTTCCACATTCCCCTGCCTTGTTTCTTTCTTTTCGCTTCTAATAGTTGTAATCTTACAGGTAGTAAATGCAAACGTGTCCTTAAAGCGTTTGGAGGAGCTATTTTCAGCTGAAGAGAGAATCCTTCTTCCAAACCCTCCTCTTGATCCTGGCTTACCTGCCATTTCCATCAAGAATGGATACTTTTCTTGGGATTCTGAGGTTCAATTCACAATCTCAATTCTTTTGCATTACATACTTGCCCCTGTTTTCTCTGTTTATGCTGCAGATGCAATTTCATTTTGTTGCATTACTCTTTTATGGATGAGATCAGCTTCTTATTGATTAGCAGGATTGCTTATTTGGTTTAAATATGCATTTCTATAGTTATACAAATTCAGTAATCATATTTTAACTTGGATTAGGTGTTTCACAGTTTGGTGCTAACCCCTCTGTCGCTTCTTGCTGTTGGATGAAATGCTAACTAAAGATTCTATTTGCATGCTTCAGGAAGAATGAAGTTCCCATTTAGACTTGCATGCCTATGATTGTTCCTAAGATGTAGATATGATTGCACTCCTTCAGTTATCACCATTAGCGATAAATAAATGCAATAGCTAATGGTATTTGTTGTATGGAGAATTTAACATGAGTTTAGATTTATTTTTGTCATTCTATCCTATATTTATTAATACAAGGCTAATTATTTTGTTCCAGCACACCTTTTTTTGCTAACATGTTTCTGGCTTCGATATAATTTATGCATGCTGGTTATTGGCACCTGTAACCATTAAGATTTTGGTTTCGTTTCCAGGCAGAGAGACCCACATTGTCAAACATCAATTTGGATGTACCGATTGGTAGCCTAGTTGCAATTGTTGGCAGTACTGGAGAGGGGAAGACCTCACTTGTTTCAGCAATGTTGGGGGAGCTTCCTGCACTGTCAGATGCCAGTGTTGTTATTAGAGGAACGGTGGCTTATGTTCCACAAGTTTCCTGGATTTTTAATGGAACAGTAAGTTGTGCTTGTTTATGTTGTGCATATATATATATATATATATATATATATATTATGGTATGTTTGTCCTCTGTCTGTGTGGAAATTGGTCATGATCGCCATGCTGTCACTTGGTGACAATAGCAGTTATAGGTAATAACTGAAATCTAGCAATGCTTTTTGTGTCGAATATGTTAATGAACTTAAGGTGTACAATGTTGGATTCAGTTAGGCTCCATCATTGAAATTTCTTATAAGTTAACTTTTTATTCAGTTGATTGTGTTTTCCTTCAATTTTGTGAACTTATAGTCTATCATTTTAGGTGCGGGATAACATACTCTTTGGATCTCCATTTGATTCAGCAAGATATGAGAAGGCAATAGATGTGACTGCATTACAGCATGACCTTGATTTACTGCCTGTAAGCTATTAGCAAAACTTGTACAATGAAGCTAGTGTTATGGACTTGACAATGTCAAATCACTATGAGTTGTTTAATTTCTTTTTGTTTTTTCCTCACATGTATGATTACTAGGGTGGTGATCTCACCGAGATTGGTGAAAGAGGGGTGAATATCAGTGGTGGGCAAAAGCAAAGAGTTTCCATGGCTCGGGCTGTATATTCCAATTCAGATTTATATATTTTTGATGATCCCTTAAGTGCTCTAGATGCCCATGTAGGTCGACAGGTAAGCTCATTACTTAACCTCATGCTGCTCTCTTGTCATGATTGCTCCTATATGCTGCTATTAGCCAAGTATGATGTGAGTTATGAGCACATGGGCTAACAGTTTTCACTAATATTTGTGATAATTAAAGATTCAAGACTGGGTCTTTGATATCCATGCAGGATCAAATGGTAGGATAGGTTTGATTTCTGCTAGATATTATGAATAAAATAATTTTTCCACATGCATTTCCATGTGGACTATTCTTTGCAAACAAAGTAGAGAGGTAGGAACTAAAGAAAAATATATATATTGCTAAGGAATGATCCTATCGAAGTAGGATTCTAACTTTTAATATTGTCGGGAAAGAGAATGCTGTGTTGGGGTGGGGTTTTGATTTCCTTTTGCTTATACGTGACAAGCCTTTGCAAACTTGGTAGAGAGACAGGGATTAAAAAAAAACTATTGCTAAGGAATGTTCCTGCTGTAGTAGGATTCTAACTTCTAATACTGTGGGCGAAAGAGAATGCTGTGTTGGGCGAGGTTTTTACTGGTCTTGTGTTCACACCAAAGAATAATTTTGCTTTCCTAATGTCTTGAGACTAACGCCAAAACTGCCTTTCAGTTAGATGTGTGTTTATTACATTTGATTATCTTTATAACCTACTGTACTATTGGAGTGTGGGGTGGTAGACTGATTGCACTGCATGTGTATCCAGGGTTCAAACTGTGCAATGACAATGTTTACCTTGCAGGAAAAGAAATATATTTGCTTCTTCCTTTCATCTTTTTGACATGTCTACTTATGGTAGTAACACTTGTCTACGTATGTTCTTAAAATTCGATCAAATAATCTTATTTTTACTTTTAGAGCAAAGCCATACATAAAAACAAATCATACAAAATTTTCATACAAACTGATGTGGTAATTACTCTTGGCATGCTTAATCAGTCATTTAATATTTATGGGGCCCACAATTCTATCACTTGACTGTTTGTTTTGAATTTTTTTTAATTATTATTATTATTATTATTACTTTAGTATGCATAGCATTTTCCTTATTTTTATCCTAGCATAGGTGTCCTATTGTGCACTACCCATCTCTACCTATTATCTCCAGGTTTTTGATAAATGCATCAAGGGAGAATTAAGCAGGAAAACGAGAATTCTGGTCACAAACCAGCTGCATTTTCTTTCTCAAGTTGATAGAATCATCCTGGTTCATGAAGGTATGGTGAAAGAGGAGGGCACCTTTGAGGACCTCTCTAATAATGGAATTTTGTTCCAGAAGCTGATGGAAAATGCAGGGAAAATGGAAGAGTATGTAGAAGAACAGGAAAACAATGATATTGTTGATCATAAAACCTCTTCAAAACATGTTTCTAATGGGGTGATTGACAACTTGCCGAAGAATGTAAGTGGTGCAAAGAAACCAAAAGAAGGCAAATCTGTTCTTATCAAGCAAGAAGAACGGGAAACAGGTGTTGTCAGTTCTAAAGTTCTGATAAGGTAATAAACATATTAAATTCCAGTGCTTCAATAATGTATTTTGTAAATGTGCAAGTTTCATTTTTGTTTAAATGATATTTTGATGGAACCTCACCACACAACCCCCCCCGATCACAACGACCTGAACTATAAGTGATGCTAATTAGAGATTCTCTATCTCATGCCTCTTTCATGACCCTTAAGTATTTCAACTTGGATAACTAGTTGCAGCCATTGAAGATAGTTCTAGTCTAATCCAAGTCCATCTTCCATATGTTCTGTCTCTGAAAAAGGCTCATCACCTTTTTTGTGTGTGATCTTGCTGGAGTCGTTTTTTTCTTTTTTGTGTGCAAAAAATCATTGCTGCTCCAAAAGAAAGAAGTGAAGAAAAAATTTTTTTGTTGCAACATACTAAATATACTAGGAATTGGAATTTTGGGTGAAGGGAGCAAAGCTACGTGGTAGAGAAGGAGACACCCCCCTTTAATTGTTTGTACTTCCCCTGTTTAATCATTGTCATTTCCACAAGTTTGATACAGTGCCAAACATAGGTGCAATGATTGCCCCTCATAATTTTCTTATTCTTTTCAAGTTTTTGTCGGTTAATTTAAAAGAAAGATCCCTTAAAAGAAAGATCATTAAATCCTATAAAATGTATTTATTTTATAACTTTAAATACAAAGTTTATATCTTATTCATAGTTTTTTTGTTTCTTATTTGCAAATTATGACAATCTGCATAATAATTAACCAACATCAGATCATTTACCTACTTTTCATTCTTTGCTTGACTCTTTTGGTGTTATATTTTGCTAAAATTAATTATATGATCATCTATAAATATGCATGTCTATATTTACATAGATATTTTACAGATAACACAATAATATGTATAGTGCGACCATACACATATTTATGCTCATTCACTAAAATTTCTAATTCCCTGTAACAAAATTTTTTAGCTTTGCGACTAGTGGTGATGTGCATTACTGATGGTGTTCGTTTAGTTTGTTTTGCCAAATGGCTGCTGAAAATATGATGTCAAATAAAACTCCTCTTGCTTGGGGAAAAGTATAGAAGAAAAGGATATTGCACTGCTCGTATTTGTTTCTTCCTTATTCCTAATGGTATGCTTCTGTCTCTCATTTTGCTCCTCTGATGTGTTGAGGAGGATTGAGAAATCTTAGTGTAAGGTAATAATTATGTTTACTCAACATGGTTTAGATGTTGAAATATTAATTGAAAATTCCACATTATGAATATGAGTATGCTTTGGCAAGGCATCTTTTAGGTCAAATATTGGTTAGAATGTTTTGATTACGGAGGTGATCTCAATATTCTCTGGTGGAGTTTTTAAGATGTATTTATATCAAAAAGTTCTAGATTCTAAATGTTCAGGAGAAAAGGGGCAAAACAAAAATTGAATTCAGCCACCACACCTAAAGGGCTCAAGGGGAGTTTCAAGTGTTTCTGTTTTCGAGAATGGCTTTTTATTGATACCTGCATGATGTGTGCTGAATCATTTGTTAATTTTCAGTTATACGGCTTCTTATCTTTGTTTCTTTCCATAATGTTCTGATGAGTATTGTCGTTTCCTCATATCAGGTACAAGAATGCATTAGGAGGAGCATGGGTGGTGATGATACTCTTCATGTGCTATGTCACGACAGAAGTATTTAGAGTTTCAAGTAGTACATGGTTGAGCAATTGGACAGATCAAGGCACTGCAAAGAGACATGGGCCTATTTACTATAATATGATTTATTTGCTTCTATCAGTTGGTCAGGTATCAGTCAGTTGGATGAAATTAAGTTAAATTTCAAGTGTAGATATTCCGTTTTATGCCTTTTCTGATAAATCATTCTTCCCTACATGGCCTTTGTTTCCTACTATTCCTAAAATGCAGGACACCTTCACCATCCTTTTTGTTTTAACGAAATAGTTTCCAAATCTTGTATTTTCTATCCAATACGAACTTTGCTTTAAATCTATTTTCTTTTTTATCTAGGTGTTGGTGACATTATTAAATTCATATTGGTTGATTATATCAAGTTTATATGCCGCCAAGAGACTGCATGATGCAATGCTTAATTCCATACTAAGAGCTCCTATGGTCTTCTTTCACACCAATCCACTAGGACGCATTATCAATAGGTTTGCCAAGGATCTAGGTGACATTGATCGGAATGTTGCCATATTTGTAAATATGTTCTTGGGCCAAGTATCACAGCTTCTTTCTACATTTTTCCTCATTGGAATTGTGAGCACCATGTCTTTGTGGGCCATTATGCCACTTTTGGTTTTGTTTTATGGAGCATACCTTTATTATCAGGTACGAGGAACCTTCTGTTCTTGCTTTCCTCTTTATTCCTAGAATTTGAATTTTTTTTTTTTTATCAAAACGTTCCTCCTCTCTTCTAACATTTTCTCTTTTCCTAATTGATCTTTTCTTTTGCTTAATATTTACCTTATGCAATGTTAGAGAACTTTGTGGGTTAGTTTTATCAGCACAATAATTGTTAAATATTTCAATTATTGGAATTATTTTTGGCCTTGAAGGTGAGCAGGTGCTCGCTCCATCAGCATATTTGTAACTCAGATAGATTATGACTAGATCCCCTCCATCTTCTTCAAAAAATGCAAATATATGTTGAACTCTAGTGAAATGATAGTTGGGCAACTTTGTTGAATGCTGATGGCATTTAAAAAAATGTGCGTGCATGGCCACACACACAAACGGAATCCACTCTTATGTTCTATATGTACTCCAGATTTGATAGAGCTATAATTATGATAGCTTCGAAGATTGTAGAATTGTAGCTCTGTTGATGGGAATTAGGGTTTGAGATTGAAGTCTAAGGAAACTAAGGATTTAGGGTTGGATTAAGCCTGTCAATGGTAATCTGATCACTGTGGCAGCAGAAATTAAAGCAAGGATGAAACAGAGAAACAATAGAAAGGACAGCCTTGGTCAATAATCCTATGAAATATTGTAAATCTCATTAAGACATTTCTTAACTAAAATTAGAACTCCTAAATAGAGTAGAACTTAGATTTCTAAATAAGACTGTTAACTATTCTTAAATTAACTAGCAAAGCAACCAAATGAAATAATAATAGTAAATTAAAGAGTAAAGACTAAGACACCATGTTCCAAAAAGTATGATTAAGTGACGCAGGGTGGGAAGAGAAAACAAAACTAGACAACAATAACTTGAAGAAAATAGAGAATAAGGTGTTGGGTTTGTGGAAAACCAAAACCAATAAGGAAACTGTGATGAAAAAGCTTGTGGTGACTCGACTTATCCAAATCTTGATATTTCCAGGTCAGTATTTCCTGGTGAGTCAAGTGCTAACGGAAGTCGTAAAGAAAACCAATCAGTCACCTGAGCCACAGATTTGTCGGTTGGGAGATTCTTGAAATCATCTGTTGAGAAAAAAAAGGCCCTTGGGTCCGACCCACAAATAATTAGGAAGCTGGGCGAGGGTCTTTCATATAAGGGGGAAAAGAAGGGTGGGGCTTAAATAGGGGTGATTTATTAAAGAGTAAAGACAGATTCCAAGCTTCACAATAAGACTAGATCCTCTACCAAATCTGATAAGTACCAAAACACACTGTTTTGCATGGATATGCTGAACTAACAATTCTGTTCTAATCACCCATGACTCAAACTTTAATCCCAAACAAGAAATCAACCATGGACATGTATTCGTTGACCAACAAGACCTCTTGATTGATGAAAAACCAATTAAACTAGTCTTGGGTTTCCATGAGAATTCTTCTCTAAATATGACAGTCACTTCATCATATTATCCCAACAATTGGGTTGGCTCTAGAACTTAGAACAAGATTTTGTTTGTTTATTCTCAGTTCCTCCATACAGGTTAATATATGTTTTCTTTTGCCTTGTGAGTTCAATGTGAATAAGTTCCTCCATGCAGTTTAATAGAAGCTTTCTTTTTCCTCGTGAGATCAATGTGAATCAGAACACTTATGCTGTTATTATGGAAAAACTCAATATAGCCAGTTTTTAATCATCTTATCCTTCATTCATCTGAATTCTAGCAATTGCAGTAATTTTTCATTTTATTCCTTGTATCTTACCATTCATCAGCATTCTGATCTCGAAATTTCATCATTTATCGTCATGGACAATCTTGAGGTACTTAATTTTACAGCATAAAATTTGTATTGTGCCATATTTGTTGAAATCAAAGAATACCAGAATATCTTGTAGATTGATGGTTAGTTCTGTACCTGGTTGGAGATTGATGTAATACTTTGCTCTTAAATAGCTTTTATCTTCTTTGGCCCCTTATTACTGCTATCATGAATTCTTGCTGCAGTATATTTAGGATTAAGAAAACAAATTATGAGGCTTCAGTGACTTTTTGGAACATAAATAATTTCTATGCTTGGGCACATTTTTTTTTTCCCAATGCACAGTTTTATCTAAGAACCATTGTGTTCTACAGAGCACAGCCCGTGAAGTAAAGAGACTGGATTCTATAACTAGATCACCTGTTTATGCACAATTTGGAGAAGCTCTGAATGGTTTGTCAACTATTCGTGCATACAAAGCTTATGATCGGATGGCCAACATCAATGGAAAATCTATGGACAACAATGTCAGATACACCCTTGTTAACATGAGTGCAAACCGCTGGCTGGCAATCCGGTTGGAAACATTAGGGGGCCTTATGATTTGGTTTACGGCGACCTTTGCAGTTATGCAAAATGGAAGGGCGGATAACCAGCAGGCATTTGCATCTACAATGGGTCTACTTCTCAGTTATGCTTTAAACATCACAAGTTTATTGACTGGTGTATTGAGACTTGCAAGTTTGGCTGAGAATAGCTTAAATGCTGTGGAACGGGTTGGCACATACATAGAGTTGCCATCTGAGGCTCCTTCTGTTATTGAGAGCAATCGGCCCCCTCCTGGATGGCCTTCATCAGGAGCGATCAAGTTTGAAGACATTGTCTTACGTTACAGGCCTGAACTTCCGCCAGTCCTACATGGGTTGTCCTTCTATATTTCTCCTAGTGACAAGGTTGGGATTGTTGGAAGGACTGGTGCTGGAAAGTCCAGCATGCTTAATGCTTTATTTCGAATTGTGGAGCTTGAAAGGGGAAGAATCTTGATTGATGATTGTGATATAGCAAAGTTTGGATTGATGGATCTACGCAAAGTACTTGGTATCATACCACAATCTCCAGTTCTCTTTTCAGGTACACTATCTAAAATCTTACTTTGAAGTTTGAATCATGATTATAATGGAGTATACTTAGTTTACTGATCCTCCTTTCTTTTGTGTAGGAACTGTGAGGTTTAATCTTGATCCTTTCAGTGAACACAACGATGCTGATCTTTGGGAGGCTTTGGAGAGGGCTCATTTGAAGGATGTTATCCGAAGGAATTCCTTAGGTTTGGAATCTGAGGTACATTTTGAAATTTTCCTTTTACTGCATCTCTCTTGACGTTCAGGGTTTTTTTGCTTGCAAGGGCTGATTTTATCATCTAGCACAACTGATGCAGGACAGCTTAGGGGTTGTCTGTACTGTTTTATTGGGGCTGTGAATGGTAATGCAAATAGGGATTGTAGGATTTGGATTGATCTTTTAGTGGCTAATAGTTAAGGTTTGATTAGGTATGAGTGTGTGGATGTATAGGAGTTCAATGTTGGTTGTTTGATGGTTAGAATATTGAGGTTGTTCGCTGGAAATTGTAGGAAGATGCACCTGGGAGGAAAACCTAAGCTTCATACCTAAGGTTCTTAGGAGTTAAACCTAAGAGACATTCCATCACGCAATCAAAAGCATATAGTTGGAAGTTCTATTCATAAACTCTGATCTGAAAATAAAGCATTACAAGCATAAGTATTTATACGCTTCATATACTTTTAAAGCTTTAAATATTTGGATTCCTAATCCAACGAGGACTTCGACACTTTCACTAAGAGAATACTGCTAATCCTATTTAAATCTACTTAATTGAGGACGACTTTTTTATTAAGTACTAATAAGGCGGAAAAAATAAAATGCTAGTCTAGAGCTAGAAAATTTCCGGCAACTCTGGAAGTCACAGAAATATCCTTGTCTCTGGAAATCACACAATACAATAATTCTACTTCTTTTCTTGTCTGCATCAATAACCCAATGCAATGAGGTGGGGATGGGATGCTCTATGCAGAAGTTTGTGGTAAAGGTCTCGAGTCCTGTTAGAATTAGCTATTCTATAGCAATGAGAGTTTTTCTTCTGTTATTTTCCCCCTTTCTTTAAAAATATGCAAGAGGAGTTCTTGATTAGCCAGTTAGTACTGTCACAACTTTTCCATTTTATAGCATTTCCTGCATTTTCTTTTCTGTTTTGTTTATATCCTTTTTTTGAGGATGTCTGAATGCATCTATCAAGGAAAGGTTGAGAAAATCCAGTTTCATTCTAAATCATCAATTCTTACATAAATACTTAATATTTACTCCGAGGTTTCTTTGCTTTTCGTTTTTCTAGCTTCCATTTCATATGGTGACTCTATTATGGTCATTATCTTTATCTGCTAGAAATCTTCTTTGTTACAATACTATATTAACTCCTAATATTTTCCAAATGTAAAATCCATTGCAAGGTTCATTTGGTGAAACGGACTGTAATCATCCATGCACTTCTAGTTAAAAACCAGCGCGAAGTGTGTGCTGTGCAGTTTTCTTTTTTCCCCTCAAAAGCATCATAACATGGTTGGGAAGTGTAGTTTGGAGCAAATTATAAATTAATCCCTCCTGTTTTGAGAAATAAATTAATTAATTCCTTTTATTTGAAAAACTAATTATTTAGTTCCTATATTTTGAAATCTACTTGTAATTTAGTCCTTTTTGCTCTTTTTTTTTTTAATTTATTTTGATTTTTTTTTAAGAAATAGAAAAAGGAAAAAAATGTAAAAAACTATGGAAAGATTGATGAGGAAATAAGGAATTTTGTGGAATAAAAATAATATTAAATTAAGCATGATCAACGCTAATCAAAGGACTCAATAATAGTTTTTGAAACGAGAGGCACTAATTAATTTGTTTCCTGAAACTGGAAGTACTAATTTATAATTTACTTTTGTAGTTTGCTTTGAACTAGTTAATAAGGATTGACTATAGAGTTTGTATTCATATTACTTGGACAAAGTGTGTGTTGTAAATTTCTTTTTTTCATAGTTATTTGCTATATATTCTTTATTATTTTATACAAAGAAGAAAAGACAAAAGAAATGGTAGGGGTAGCGGAGACCTAAAATGGGTTTTGATTATTTTATTCTGTAAACCATTTATTTGAACTATTCTTAGGTTGCTATGGCTTAAAAGTAGGAGTTAATTTTGTCATGTACACATCTCCTTCATAACAAAAATTGTGTAACAGTATGGTTTTGATTAAGTTATAAGAAAAAAAATAGAATAACACATGGGAATCCATTTCAAATTGACAGTGGCTGGAATGACAGAATATGCATAAAATTACGAACCAAACTCACCAGTATTTTATCCTTACTATGTCAGTATAATATTAGATAGGCACATGTTATATGCTTGACCTATAATTAACTCTTTTGCTTGAATTTCCGTAAATGCTCTGTTGAATTTGAAACAATAACCTTCATAATTTGTAGGTTACAGAGGCAGGGGATAATTTCAGTGTTGGCCAGAGACAGTTGTTAAGTCTTGCTAGGGCATTGTTGCGAAGGTCAAAAATACTTGTGCTTGATGAAGCTACTGCAGCTGTTGATGTCAGAACAGATGCTCTTATTCAGAAAACTATTCGAGAAGAATTCAGGTCATGTACAATGCTAATTATTGCACATCGACTCAATACCATCATTGATAGTGATCGGGTCCTTCTGCTTGATTCTGGCCGGGTATGCTGTGTGTTTAAATTTTTTTTTTTCAGCTTTTATTTTTTCCTTCATGGAAAGTGACTTGTAGGAAACGCTTTCTCACATTCTCTGGTGTATGGTTATGTGATTCAGAAGGCAACAAGTGAACAGAAATGTCATCCTTTTAAAGGAACATCAAGCTGAAATAATTGTAGGACAGCATAGGGGGCTGATCTGGATCTGAATTTCAGGGGCTGTTTTAGGGTTGTGACATTGATGAGAATAGTTATTTAGGGTGTGAGTTGATCTTTTGATGTTTAATAGCTATAGGGCTTATTGGGCTTGAACTTTTGGATATTTAGTAATTCAATTGAGGCTGTTTGATGGTTGGAATATGGGATTTGAGTTGCTGGAAATTGTAAAAACTATTTAGTCACACTAATGAGTTTCTAGAAATCACCCCTAGAGGATAGAAAACCTAGGCTTGACCCCTAGGGTTCTTAAGAGTCACACCTAAGAGAAGATTGACTCGCACAATCAAAACCAAAGTTGCTGGAATTTTATTCATAAACTGATTCTCTTTGATGAAGGATAACATAACCTTTATAAGAAAATACTAGTAGTCGATTTAGAATAGGAAAAAACTAATAAAGCTAATTACTTTGGAACTAGAAGAATGCTAAATAGAAAATTAAACCTAGACTTGGGCAATTTTCCAGATTTTCCATTGAAAAGTACAGAAATACCCTCGTCTACAAAAAGGCATTACTTTTGCTTCTTTTGTTGCCTGCATCAATTATGGGGGGCTATCTGTTTCAAATCCCAAGTCATTTTCATATCTTCAAGCTCACTACGCTTACTGATATTAACTGACCCCTGAACTTGTAATAATGACCTGCCAGCAGTCACTTACAGTGATCAATACTGACAGCTGCTGTCTATTATGGGCTGTCCTTGGACCAAGCCAACCTTCTCTGACAATCACCACTGGCAACCTTTGATGACCTCTTGCCTCGAATGGCCATTATCAATTATCAACAAGCATGATATTATGCCACCATTTCCTCCCTTCAGTTTGCGCTGACCTATGATTATCTTGCCTTATTTTTCTGGGTCTTGGGCTATTATGTAAAACAAAAAAAGATTTTTTATCTTAAAATATTTTCACTTGAAAGGTTATCCATTCTTAAAACTACAGCTGATAACAACCTTGGTTATCAGTTCCAGTCAGCAAGGGCCATTATTTACTGACAGAATTCCCATTCACTTTACTAACGAATTCAGTGAAACGATCAGTGTCTTTATCTTGATTGTAAATATCTGAAGGCTCTCTTGTTTGGCATTGACTGAAGACTCTTGAGAAAATCCTAATGTTTTTTTTTTTTTTTTTTTTTTTTGCTTCTATTGTTTTTCTGTTTATTTGCCTTCAGGTTCTGGAATATGATACACCAGAGAAACTGCTTTTAAATGAAGATAGTGCATTCTCCAAGATGGTTCAGAGTACAGGGACTGCAAATGCTCAGTACTTGCGCAGCTTGGTAATGGGAGGGGAAGGAGAGAGTAGGTTGGGCAGAGAAGAGAAAAAACAGTTAGATGGACAGAAGAGATGGCTGGCCTCCTCTCGTTGGGCTGCTGCAGCACAGTTCGCCCTTGCTGTTAGCCTCACTTCATCACATAATGACCTGCGACAGTTGGAAATTGAGGATGAAAACTCTATCCTGGGGAAAACAAAGGATGCAGTGATAACTTTGCAGAGAGTGTTGGAAGGGAAGCATGACAAAATAATTGACGAATCACTGAATCAATACAAAATATCCAGAGATGGATGGTGGTCAGCTCTTTACAAAATGGTTGAAGGTAAGAATTGATTTCCTTCTGTTGTGCCGCATGGTCCCCAATCCATATATCCAGATATGCCTTTGTCAATAGTCTTCCTATTTCCTTCTTATCTTTTGGGCAATGCTTACTTTTTCGTCCAGCAAGTATTTTGTGGATAATGCTTCATCAATTCGTTACTCTGTTTTTCATACCCAAATTTAACAATGATCGTTAGTGTGTTTAAGTATTATAAATTGTGAGTATGAAGGATGCTTTTCTTTAGTAGTTGTACCCTTTGGAACTGGAAGCAAACATGCTCTTTGATCCAGCTAGCAAGCATACTGATCTTGTACATTTCTTATTCTTCTTCCCCTAACATGTATTATCTGAATTTATGTTTATTCTCCTTTTCTTTTCAGGTCTTGCCATGATGAGCAGACTAGGTCGGAACAGGCTTCACCAATTGGACACTGGCTTTGATGACAAAACAATCGACTGGGACCATGTTGAAATGTAGGATCACTGTGGTTTATCTCCAAGTTCAAAGCAGGCTCCATAACTATGCTTAATTACTGTATTCACTAATGGTAGTAATCTACCGCAAGTGCCTGATATTTTCTAATGTAGCTTCCGGAATTTTCCATAGACTCTGTATTTCGAGGTTGTTATATAACTTAGGGATGACAATGGAAATGTATCTGATCCATTAATTTAACTTTTTACCCTATCTATCAAAAAAAAAAAAAAAAAAGCCTCCTCTCCTCTTGTTTTCTTCCTTAAAAGCAAATGCTTGTCTTGGTCTTTTCTTCTCTAAAAATGCCCCCGTCTCTTCTTTTACCCAAAAAACAATTCTTGTATTTCATGTACTTGAAATTCTACAAAACCTATGGATGATCGTAGCAGTAAAGACTTGAAATGTTTATTTTTTAACATTGTTATATAACGACAAATAACAACATTATATAACAATAACAATGTTGTTATTAGTTGTTATAGCTGTGAAACAATAATAAAGCACCCATAACATAGAATAATGATAATGGAGTGTCCTGATTTCGTTATATAACAACCATTAAGACTATGGTTTCAACTCTCTTTTAACGTATACTAATAGAAGAATTTGGATCTACAGTATGCACGAATGACGAGTTGCTAAGCTCTTGTTTCTACTCTTCTGACCTTGAAATAAGCTAAGAGAAACTCGTTAAATTACTCTTTGTTCCTTTTCTTGACGTGAGACTTGTCTGGTCTCTTCCACTTGAATTTGTGACTCGAAAGCCAATTGGCATACTGAATCTGCAGATGCTCAAGGTTAGGCCCCATCTGAATAGGAAGCATGTGCGAATTGACATTAGTACGAGTTGTGGCTGTTGGATGTATTAAGAACTAGAGATTTGTTACAAGTTCTCTAAAATAAAGACATCTCGTTCATTGATTGATTTCATGGAAATGATGGCTGCTCGACAATGGCCGGTTTCATTGAAGATTTCTCTGTGTTGAATGATTGATCGCATCCCTCTGGCTCCGACCAGCAAAGGTACATGCTATTATGTACTAGCCTAACGTTGGTGGTAAGTTTTGATCTTGTTATAGAATAGTTAATTAATTGTTTTTGTTTTGTTTTTTTGTTTTTTTAAACAAGGGTGATATTTTGATAAATTATATTAATAAAATAGATAAAATACATGAAGGGGATAAATTAGCCTAACCTTGAAATTGAACTGGGACACGGAAGCCTAATCCCTAAAGCAATTATAATACAAACATGTTATATTTTATAATTGTAGAGGTTAAATCTACCAAGCCTACAAGCAATTTGAATTTCTAGAGGTAAATTACTGTAAACAAAGAATTTTAGTTTTCCCTTGTGACCATATACCAAGCCTACCTGCAGCAAGATTCTGCCAGTGCAAAGCATGACCAAATACGTGGATTTTTTTAAAGACTGACATTATCGAAGCTAATGGATATATATCTATGGACTGCTGATCTCGCCTTGAATGGCACTAACAGCTATTAAAGAGTTTGATTCTACTCACACCGACTGTAAAGATAATGCTTTACATAAGATCAGACCCTCTCTGATAGCACGACTCTCTCTTCTATATTTGTCCTCATACCATAGAAGTGAGAAAAATAGACAATAACATGATAGAAGAATTTTGAATAACCCCTCCACTGGTGCACATCCCATCCACAACTGATTTATCTGTATTTGATTTGAGACAATCCCTGGGAGGAGGGTTTCATTTCAACAACAAATCTTTTGGAGGGGTTTTACGAGATAACAGGTAGATCGAGTCATCGAGAGCATTAAGTTTATGAATGCCAATCATATTACAAGGGCGTTTGGTTTATAAATTAAACACATATTTGATAAGCATAACTTTTTCTGCTCAATCACCAAATCTGTCGACGTGAGAATTTCACAAATTTGACTTCACATCTATTCTTCCATGTTTTCCGTAAGTCAAACAAACAAGTGGAAACTTTGACATGTACCTATTTTGCGTTTTGGTTAAGCACGTCCAACTTTGCAAAAGAGCATCAAAAGAAGAATATTGATTTGGTATTGCAGATATCCTTGCAAAATAATTCCAAACCTGTATAGCAATATCAGACTACATAAAATATGTGATCTAAAGATTCCTCCATTTTACAACTGACAACAACTACACATAGAGACCTGGAATCAACATGGATTGCTTGATGAATCCACTTCTAAATAAATCCACTAATCTGAATATGTACCCATGAATTCCACATTTTCTTGTGCCAATAAACTTGCTGATTGCCATTCCTTCTACCCTTCCAGAATGCCTTTGTTTCAAACTGGAACAACTGGAACTAGGCACAGAGTCATCCAGATGAATAAATACTCCTCTTTATTATAAAATTCATCTCTAACAGTAAGTGATTTATCATGTGGAAGAGGCGGGCAAAGCATAACTCACACCAACTGTTCGTCCAGAAAGGAACATTCTCCCGTCCCAATATCTAAGTACTACACTCTTTAAGGAAGGCAATGTGTTTAGTGATTGATTTCCATATATGAGAAGAGGTTTAGGATCTCCATATTTAGCCCTCACAGAAGTACCCCACAGATTGTTACCCTACGTATAAGACTATGCCAATTTAGTCTGCAGAGCCTCCGTCACCTGTAAGAAACCTCGAATACCCAAGCCCTCTTCCTCGGTAGGTTTACAAATAGCATGCCAGAAGACCCAATGATACAGTTTCTCACTACCTGTACTCCATAAAAAAATTAGCTAAGATCTTTTTCGTTCTTCTGATTATGGATTCAGGAAAAGGAATAGCAACCACTTTATGAACATGAATGATGCTAAATACTGATTTAATCAAAGTCAATCATGGAAATACTTGCGTTTCAACCCATCAGTAAAGAGTGGTACGCCAAAATATTTCAAATAAAAATGTTATCAAGACCTGAATTTGATTTATTCTCTCCCTAGGCATTCATTTTGGAGTATAAAATCTACTTTTAGCCATATTGATCAATTAGCCAAAGGCTTTTTCATAACAGATCTCAAAGATTCTTTAAAGACCTCTTATCACCATTTGTAAACGACATATCATCTACATAAAAGAAAAAAATGACATAGAGGTATTTCCTCTTTCCACATATAAGGAATACTGAGGCTAGTCCGAACTCGTTTTATGAAGGTTAAATAAGAGAGTTTGTTGAACAAAGATAAAGAGCAATGGGGATAAAAGGTCATCTTGTCTCACTCCTTTACTCGAATTTCAAAAAACCAAAATTTAATCCTTGAATTATGATGGAGTACCATACATTATTGATACATAACACAAAGTGTGGTCCAAGATATTCAAGTAGACCTTAATATCACACACAAATGGATCAATATATATATATTTTTTGATGGGTCGACGTTCTATTTTGTTAGGATAAAGTTATCCTTAACATTATCTTGCTTCATTATCCTTAACATTATCTTATGTTAGGATAAGTGATGAGTGCATAATTAGCATGCTTTTTATGTTCTAATACATTGAACTTTCTAGTGTTTAGTGTATTATATTATGTTATTTAAGAATAAGATAACGATTTTGGGTTTTGTAGAAAAAATGATGAATCGAAGCAAAGAAACCCAAAATCGAAGCAAGCCACATAGGCAAAACCATTTCCATACAATTCGAAGAAGCATTCCACATGGCGCCGTGGTTGATTAAGCCCATAACACTCGAGGAAGAAGAAGATCCACACGGGTACTAAGCTCTTTACACAGTTTGTAGTATAAAACCACACTCTCGTGTGGCTAAGGAAGAGAAGATCTACAAAGGCGGGAGCTTGGCTACATGGATTGTGAACAAATTCAAATAGTCGTGTGCAACCTAATTTTCAAGGTTTCAAACCATGTGATATCAAGTAGCAAACAATGTAACTTTACACACCAAGTGGTGTAACAATGTAATACCGACACAAAAAATGATATAACCCTAGTTTTGGGTATAAATAGCAAAGTTAGGGTTTATTTAGTCTCTTTCCAACTAGCTTTTCTACAACCACCATTAATATAATTCTCCCTTTACATCATGAACAACTAAACTCCCTTCTTAGTTGAATCAAGTTGAAGCTTTTGGTTAAATCACTATGAGATTATTGGTTTTATTTCTAAACTTATCTCTATTAGATATTTTATGTTTTTCTACATGATTGATTCATAGTTGTATGATTAATTCAATTAGAGTGCATGCTAGTTGTTTATTCATCTTGCTTGTTACTAGCTAAGTATTCAAGTCCGTGTAATTGCTTGTCTAAACTTGCCTATGATAGTAACTAGGAGTTGATGATTAGTGATGTTTTTGTTCAATTCCTTGGAAAATATAGAATTAGGTTGCATATTCTCTAGTGTTTAGGATGGTGGCTTAGCTTCACCTATCTTTCTCATCTTAATGTCTGTTATTGGATTAAAGCTATCTAGTGCTTAGTAGGTTATTCAATAGCTAGAGAATTAATTAGGTATCATATATGTAATTAATGACTAGGTAAGGAAAGATTGGAGTCAACATATATGTTGTTGTCTTATTGTGAATATTCATGTTAGCATGAGTTAACTCGTTTAATCAATGATCAATAATCAAATCAAAAGTGGATACTAAAGTTCAATCAAGGCTACTCTTATACTCGTTATCTCTTAATACTTTTTCTTACTTTCAAGCATCTCGAACACACAAAACCCCCATTTACACATAAGAACACCCAAAGTAATTGATCGATTCCCTTTTCATGTGGGTTCGATCCTTACTTGTCCCGATTATATAACCGTGATTAAAAGCTCGGTAAAGATATATATAAATTACTAATTTGTTCGCACCATCAATAAGTGTTTTAGAATTTGGTCTGTAACAATGAGCATAATGGAACTTGAGTTTTTTAATTGAGTTAGATAAGAGTAGAATTAAGGAGTTCTAAAGGTAAAAGAGACTAGAGTTTGTAGTCCATATGTGATAAGTTTTCTTTCATCTTATCCTTAT